GACAACTTGAGGGAGCTGGTTCTCTCCTCTGGGTGTGTGTATCTCGGGGATTGAACTCAGGGTGCTACACTTGGCAGCAGGTGCCTTTACCTGCTGAGTCAGCTCACTGATCTTCAACACTTCTTTCTTATTAGCACTCAGTGTGTGCCAGAAAATACTATAGAATTTGGGAATACAACAGTAATATAGCAGTTTTAAAAAACAGAAATACTACTCCTTTTCTCAGACTGTAATATTCCAGTTAAAGAAGACAGATACATGAGTAGAAAATGAATTTTCTACTCAGAAAATGAATTTATCTGAATAAGAACCTAAAACATTTAGAAACGTTTCTGGATAAGTTCCTTTTACTGTACCTTTTGCTACTTTGTGACACTCTGGAACAAAGATGGATTAGAGTAAGTTGGGGCACCCACGACCCCGAGTCATTAAAGTCAGGCATATTAACAGGTATCACAGGTACCTGCAGACAAGATTTAGTGCAGGTAAGAGCGTTAAAGAAAAGTCTCCAGGAGCCTGGGGGTGGATAGGTAGTTGGAGATCTGAGAAGACAGGGCACTTATACACTGGGAACAGCAAATGGCAACATTCTGAGATTGGCATGTGCTTGGCACTTTCATACAACAGCAAGAAAGCCAGTGCACATCGCACTGAGTCAGAGGAAAAGTGGTAGGCAAGTAAATGAGAAAGAATAGTCAGACCAGACTGGCTTTAAGGACTATGATAGACCCGGTGTCATTCTCAATGACACATGAACTCATTAAAGATTCCTGTGGGTTCTGGTTTGTGTTTTATTGTTTTTGTATTAAGACGAGGCTTACTATGTCATTCAGGCTGGCCTTAAACTCCAGATCCTTTAAGGTACGAATGGCCAAACTGGCTTGGGTTGTTTTACAAGTGTTACTGTAACTGCTGGGTGTAGAATAGTTTACTGTGGAGAAGGGAGACAATTAGTTAGGAGGACACTATTATAATCCAGCTTGACATACTTCCTTTTGGTCGAGATGCTAAGATGTCAGATTATCAGCTGTTTTTAAAAATAAAACAGACACACTTTGCAGATGGATTGAGGGTAGACTGAGAACAGTCAAAGACTATTCAGTGTTTGACCAACTGGAAAACAAAGCTGGAGGAGTCTGAGAGAAAAGCAAGTCAAGCAGGCTGCTTGACAGGGATGGACACTTAAACAGATCAGTATTCAGTCTTTGTCAATTAGAGCTTGACATAGCCATAGACATTGATGTAGACAGACAGGGAAGGTATGAGTTAAGCCCATGAGAATGGACTTCATGGAGGGTCTGAGCTGGAGATATAAAATTGGGACTGGCTACCACACAGACAGTATGTAAAGCCAGTTAACTGCGTGATGTTACTTTGGGGATAAAAGTCTTTGAATGGCTAAGAAAGTAGGATAAGTGCTTAAGTTTTACCCCAACTACTACCAGAGAGCAAGGCTGATGACAGACTTACTAAAAAGTCGAGGCTTGGAAATAAGAATGCAGGGCAAGCGAGATGCTCATCGGGTAAAGGCACTAGCTGCTAAAACTGAAAACCTGAGCTCCATACCCAGTATACTGGCTTCTTTTATGTCAACTTGACACAACTAGAGTCATTAGAGAGAAGGAACTTCAGTCAAGAAAATGCTTCCATAAGATCCAGCTGTAAGGCATTTTCTCAATTAGTGATTGATGGGGAGGGCCCAGGCCTTTGTGGGTGGTGCCATGCCTGGGCTAGTAGTCCTGAGCTCTATAAGAAGGCAGGCTGAGTATGCCATGAAGAGCAAGCCAGTAAGCAGCATCCCCCCATGACCTCTGTATTAGCTCCTGCCTCCAGGCTCCTGCTGTGCTTGAGGTCCTGTCCTGACTTCCTCTGATGATGAACTGTGATGTGGAAGTATAAGCAGAACAAACCCGTTCCTCCCCGACCTGCTTTTTGGTCATGGTGTTTTGTTGTTGCAATAGAAACCCTGACTAGGACACTCAGTAACCCACAGGTTGAAGGAGAAAACCAGTCTCAAAAATTGTCCTGTGATGTCCACACACATGCTGTGGTATGTGCATAAATTAATGAATGTAATGAATAATTGTAAAAGAAACAAGACTGCACAAAGTTCAATCATAATTGCACAATACCGTGACTTCTCATGAGGACAGTAGAGGCTTACCCTCTCCAATGCTCTGGTATTTAGTTAGTCTCTCAGAAATATAACTTATTTCATTTTTCAGACAGTCTCTAAGCATAATGTAGTAATTTTAGGATCTTAACTAAGAAAACACGTCTCGTTTAATCTTTGCTGTTTCCCCTTTGTACTATATAAAACTGGACAATGGGAAATGAACGACTGACTATCTACTTAGAAATTTCATTTCTGTTTCCCAAATGACTGTTTTTCCTTTCCCTGGTTATACATTTTTAGAAACATATTTATTTTATGTTTAGTATAATTGTGTTGTGTAATTGTGTTCATCTACCCACAGGTGTACTCGTGTCTGCGTGACTATGTGCATGTGGGTACATGTACCCACAGGTGTACTCATGTCTGCGTGACTATGTGCATGTGGGTTCCTTGAAGTTGGAGTTACAGGTGGTGGAAATCAAATGTGTCCTTTGCAAGAGCAGCAAGTATTTCTAACTGATCATCTTGTCTCTGGCTCCACTAATTATCTATCTTTAGTGTACTACCACTAGTAGAGACTTTCCTCACTATTGCTTAATAAATAACAATAGACAGAACATTAAAAAGCAATATCCTAAATTATTTTTGTCAATCAAAGAATTCAATACTGCCATTTTCATTGGTTTGTGTGTGTGTGTCAAGGTCTCTCTTATTATGTAGCTCTGGTTCTGGAACTCACAGAGATCCAGCTGCCTCCTCCTCCTCCTCCTCCTCCTCCTCCTCCTCCTCCTCCTCCTCCTCCTCCACCCCCACCGCCGCCGCCTCCTCGGTGGGGGGATTAAAGGTGTGTGCCATCCTGGAGAGAAGCATGCCCTTTCAAGGCCCAGTACTTTGGAAAATCAAAGCTAATAAAGTCAAATGTTCTAAGAACAAGTAGCCATGGTCACATAATCAACAATTTCTAAAAACCACCTACTAAATACAGCTTGAAAACCTACAAAGGTTATAACAAACAAACAAACAACAAAAAGAGGGAGACAGCTCCAAGTACAAACTTCAGGAAGTATGGCCAGATTCTGAGAAGTGACTGGGATTGCAGACTGCTGGAGTTGATGGCGGAAGGACAGAAAGAACGCAGATCCAATTCCAAAACTAGAATTGAGTGCTATTCTCCAGTGATCAGTTTGCAAGATGTGTTTGAGACAGTTATTTTCATTTCTTTATCTTTTTTCTCATTTAGTAACCATTCATTCATTTTTTGATTGGTGCTTTTTCTTAAATGTCCTACATCTTTTACATTTGGGTGAACTGAATTGTCACATTATAATCAAGAGGAGAAATGGGACAGATACAAAATCCATTTCTAATTTTAACCTAAAAAACAATAAAATTACAAACAGAAAAACCCGTAAGGAGAATGAGTTTTCTTTCTCTCCCTTCCTCCCCCCCCCCCCCCCCCCCTCCCTCCCTCCCTCCCTCCCTCCTTCCTTCCTTCCTTCCTTCCTTCTTTCCTTTTCTTTCTGTAGACAGGGTCTCACTATGTGTACTATGTAGTCCTGGCTGGCCTGGAAATTACAAGGTCAACTAGCCTCAACTCATAGGGATCCTACTTGCCTCTGCCTCGTGAGTGCTGGGATTAAAGTCATGCCCCGCTATAAACATGATTTTATGAGCAGTATTATTGACATGCATCACAATGAGTCTCTGACAGTCAAAGCATGTGTTCCTTAGAAAGGTTTAGAGAATAAGCTTTCATTTTTTTCAAGTGCACTATAAATTAAATAGACACTTCAAGTGTCTAGTTGAAAATAGAACCCTGGTTATCCTTAGCTCCCCAAAATATCAATGTTGTCCTGCCCAGTAGAATCTGTGTGAAAAGTTTCACCACAGACTGAGGTGAAAACTTCAAAAGAAGGAGACCTCCAGGAACCGGTTGTGGAACTCTTGGCCACAGGAGCAAAATATAGAGCCATAGTTCTCATGGGAATTTATCTGTTTTATCCTCTTCAATTCCTTTTCTTATTTAGAATTTGTTCCTGATAGCCTAGGCCGAAATTTTAAGGGAGAAATCGGATAAGAAACCATCCCTTGAGATGGGATCACTAGCCATGACTTTATCTCCAGGAAAACTAGAGCTTTACTTCATAAATCATTTTCAAAATTACCAAATAGTATTATGATAGATAAAAACTTTCCCAACAACAAAATTTCATATGGCTATTGTGTGTCCTTGGAAGTGGGCTTTGGTATATGGTAAAGAAAGCCTTAAATAGAAAAGAATTAAAATAGTTGAAATTCACACCTTGAAGAGTCACAAAAAATTATGAACTAAATGTTAAATAATAACTGACCATAAAAATTTATTAACCTGCTCTTGGAAAGATGCCATAAGCCTTGGATGATTTTGTGGTTTACTGTGCCAAATAACAATGATACTATCTGTCCTATCCGAGATTGCCCTACTAAACACATCTTCTAAGAGTTGCAGTACTTGTTTCATTATGTATAAAAATCCTTGCTTGAAAGCTGAAAAATACACTCAGATTCAAACTGCTTCTGTGTGTGTTTCTGTTTTCTGTTGTATCCTTACCCACCTTGCCTTCAAGGACCCTCTTCCCAGGGAACCCCATGTCTGTCTGGGGCGGCCTGCGGCATTGTCCTGTATTGTTTAATTGATTTATTTTTGCTTTCCTGAGGCACATTTCACTCAATGGCCCAGGCTGGCCTCAAGGCAGTCCTCTGTCTCTACCTCCCATGTGCTGATATTAGCAGTGAGAGCTACCACATTATCCTTGTACTGCCTGTTTTAGGCGAACAGTCCTTAGCAGTTAACTTAAAGAACACATTATCATTATGTAGTGATTTCTTATTTTGACAAACTTACCTGGTACAAAAAATTCTGTTGGCACAAACCAGTGAAATTCCAGGTGGAATCCTAAGCGAATAGCCTTCAGGGTAACAATGAAGATCAAATAGAGGACAGATACTGTGCCTGTAAGGGACAAATGAGCAAATCCAGAAACCATTCATCATTTTTGCATATCTTACAGACTACTTTAAAAATCTGGACTGGAGAAACTATGTTCATTGATTAATCCTATTTATATATATAAAAAAAAAACCCAGCTAGATTCTGAAGACAGTAGCCTTGTGGGTTATCAGAGAATGAAATGATTGGGCAGTAAATAAACTTAAGGACACCAAGACAAGGGATGCCATGAGTCACTCACTGACTGGGGACTGCTCAGTTAGATTAGGAATCCAGTAGAAGCAACAAGCAAAGGCCACTATAAAACTGTCAGTTATACAAGAAAACCAAACCAAACCAAACCAAACCAAACCAAACCAAACCAAACCAAA